TCCACAAACCTTATTGATACGTGTATGTATAAATAATACTCTTACACTCAAGAATCATACTCCCAATAACCCATCTTTACCCAAACTCAAAATTGAAGACTTGGGTTAGAAATCCTTACCTCTTTGAAGCCTTAGCAAAATCCTTGTGAAATCTTCAAACCCTGAACAAGAATTGATGGACAAATGGCTAGGTTTTCACTTTTTCTCTCTAAGATGCTCTTACCTCTCTCTAAAATATCAGATGAAACACTTCAAAATGACCCCCAATAGTGTTTTATAAGAATGGGGTCAGGTTTATAAAACCAGAAAAATGAAGCCCCGAAATACACTCTGCGGTCCGCATATCGGCCGCAAAAATTTGGTGCCCAAAACTGGGGGTCGCCTGCCTGGGTATGCGGTAGTTATGCGGCCCGCAGACCTGTTATGCAGTCGCATAATGCACCGCAGAACTGGTCTACAGTCGCATAATGCACCGCTGATCTTCCTCCAAGCTGCCCTGCCTCTAATTCACTCTGCGACCATTATGCGGTCTGCAGAGTGATTCTGCGACCGTATAGTGTGCCGCAAAAATGACTTTTTCTGGCAAATTTTTTCTTTTACTCCCCAGTGCATTGTTCAACCCAAAAAGTCCGAGTCGTATTTGTACTAATTAATCTACCTCAGCACTAGATAACCTTAATTTTCTTAGCAAAAATTATCCGGGTCGTTACACATAAGTCAACATCCGGTCAACTTTTCTAACTTAAGTTCTCAATTATGAGACTAAGTGTTTTATTTCACTCCGAAATCCTTCAGGACCCGAACCAACTAACCCGGTAAGTCATAAAACAACTGTAAAGCATAACTTGAGCAGTAAATGGGAAAATATGGTTATAATACTCAAAACGACCGGTCGAGTCGTTACAGTCCTAGTGGCTCATGATTTGTACTACCAGTCCTTGGGAAATTTCTTGTATAAAAGTTTAGTTATTTCTTCATTTATCTTCTCAGTAAACCTCATTGAATTGGATTGTTGTTAATTGACTTNATATATATATATATATAAAAGTACTAATAAGAGGTTATTAAAACCAAAATGCCTTGGTTAATGGAGGGTAATAGTAATAGTTTTTGTGTTTCCTAAAAACAAAAGAGATGATGATGATTCAAAGCAAGTGATTTCCGTGTATTGAAAAAGATAAACTAAGTGATTTTAGTTTGATTTTGCGCAATAGTATGGTTGACTATAGCTTAGATTTACTTCTTAGAAAGAATTTTACATAAATTTCTTTAGGATGTTAACAATAACAAAAGCAAAGTGAAAAAAGGGATTTAAATACAATCAAAATAGAAGTTACACGTGGATCGTATTGTATTGAATTGCAGGGAATGCACATGATGAAATAACTATAAAGTGATAAACACTAATTTCAGTCTTAGTTCTTTTGGAAATACCAAATCCCATGCAAAGAATAAATAAATTTTTAAAGAAACAAAAACTCGGCTATAAGTAGTATGTGACTATAACTATCAACTCTTATATAGAGACTTAGATATCTCTCTCTCTTCATGGTTTGTAGTAAGTTCCTCCTCAACTATAGATGTCTCTTTACTGATAAGAAGCAAAATGGTGATCAGTCCCTTGAAAAAAGGTTATTGACACCAAAACGATTTAAGTAATGGAAGGTAATTCAGCAAATATGCCCTTGCTTTGCACGATCGTTAAAAAAAATTTAAATATGGTTAATTAATTTGAGTATTGTTATTATTTTATAACAATAAAATTAGTCATTTCTTTTTGATCGATTTTATCTTTTCTATATTCCCTAATCATAACACTATCGGTTGTCCCTTTATAGATTTGCCTTATAAGGGGTTGATTTATTTGTTCGTATTTCCTTCACTTCGTTTTTATATTTTTATATACATGGTGGCGTTAGAATATTCAATTTCACAATGTACATTATACGCTTTCTCAAGAGCCTTATTGGTCGATGAGAAGGTCTAGATTGTATGTAGGTAATATCTTTCTTGATATATGAAAATAGAATTGGATAATTAATTAAGACACTATTCAAATAGGAGAAAATATAACTTTTGAAATACTAAATAAAAATTGAGAAAATATCAATTTTTAAGTATTGAGAATAAAAATTTATTTTCTGTATGATTAATGTTCTTATTTTCTAGGATACTATCTTTATTATCATTTCTCAAAGTGAAAAAGAAGTAGAAGTCATTAATTCCCACTCTGCTTTGTTTCCAAAAGAACAAATATACTCTATTTGATAATATATTTTTCAGATTTTGCAAAAATCTAATAAAATGCACAGTATACGTTCAGTCAGAATGCATCAAGATTAAAATTTTATTACTAAGATAAAATAAAATATTCCCACGATATAATGAATCACCAGGAGGAACCCAATTACACATACCTTCCATTCAAATAATAAATCGGAAGATTCAACTACGTAATACATCTTTAAATTCAAATGAGTATTCATACACATACATGACACTTCTTGAATAAACTGAACTAAAAGTTCCACAAGTGTAATAAAAAACGATTTTATACATATAAACAAATACTGACACTTTCTCAGCACACCTTTATATATGAGGAAAAAAACAAGAAAATATAGTACTCAGGGCGTGCAATAACATTCTAATCAGATTAGATTTACAGAAAGGATGTACAGATAAGCTTCAATAATTTGCCATTAAATTTGAAAAGACACAGAAAAAATAACCCCATGAAGAGAAGGCAAGAAATTTAACAATTGGGAGAGAAGTCGGCTCTCACTAGAGAATAGTAAAACGATGAAAGGCTAAACGTAGTTCGTCAGTTTTTTTTTTTTTTTTTTTTTTTTTTTTTTTTTTTTTTTNGAAGGTTTGGAGAAGAAGAAACCAAAGTGGGGGGGATGGCTTAGCTCTTAGGTTTTTTTTTTTTTTTTTTTTTTTTTTTTTTTTTTTTTTTTTTTTTTTTTATAATAGCTTTTTCATATCTTTAATATAGCATGTAACTAGGAAACTTTTTCTATGTCCTACGTTTCGTAAAAATGTTGTCTTCGAAAAATAGCTTTTGGTGACTAAATATCAAAAACTTTGGAAAAAACGTGATTGATGATACGCCTTTTTTTTTTTCAGGTACAAATTCGACATATATCTATGTTAGGGGTGGACGTTCGGGCAGTTCGAATTGCATATGAGAATTTCAGTTTGGATTTTTGGTTTTCGGATTGAAGAAATGACAATCCAAATAAGTTCGGATTGAATCAAATTTTTTAAGTTCGATTTCGGATTAATCCGTTTGAATATTTTAAATATTTTCGGTTTTAAGCTTATAAGTTGAGATGTTTATTTTTTTTACAAAAATGAATATCCAAATGAAATACTCATGTTAAATTGTCTAAAAAGTTCCTCATTCGCACCGCAGTTATCCAAATGAAGTATTCAAGTAATGAAATTATTATCAAAAAAATACAATAGAGACATTAATACAGCCGATAAGAAGTAGAAATAATAAAATCATGTCCAAATAGAAAGTATTCTTGTAGTAACTTAGTGATTAATATTGAATATATGGGATACTATCTAATGGGTAGGGCATTGAACTTATTACTATTGACATATGGATAATGGACTAGATATAAAGTATAAGAATTTCGGATTTTCGGATATCCAAAAATTAGAATTACCAAATCCAATATTTAATCCGAAATCCAAAAAAATTAAAAATTAAATTCAAAATCCAAACGAAAAATTTAAAAAATTCGAATTTCGGTTTGTATTTCGAGTTTGTCCAAACTATGGGTATCCCTAATCCATGGTGATGGAAATCGGCTTGCTGAATCTCTCTCTTCTTTTGCCGTTGATCAAGGAAAATATTGATTGTTCTCTCATTCTTAAATTTTAGAAGCTATTAGAGATTTTTATAGTTCATTACAAATGTCTTTTGTTCTTTTCATGTGAGATCGGCAAAGAATAACACAAAAGATTAGTAAATAAAATACAGAATTTTCTAGTGTCATTGTAACTTGCCATAGGATTTCTCAAAACTTAATTTAAGTAGTTTTTTCTTAAAACTAGGTATTTATAAACCATACCTATTATCTGTAGTCTACTGTATGCAATAAATAAGTTTCAAATGTAGGATGCCTGGAACCCTATCCCCATAAATTAACAACCAAGAAAGAAGTATACATTAAAATATCCTAAACTCAATGTAGTAATAAAAGTAAAAGATGAAAATGATTTTTTTTTATTAAAATGCGAAGGAACTTCCTTAGTGGTCTAAGGACCTGTTTGTCCATAATATTTTTCTTTTTTCCAAAATTTATCTTCAAAAATTTATTTGGTTATACACTTAATTAACGTTTTTAAGAAGAGTTTCAAATTCTTTGATAAGTTTCAAATTCGAAAAAGTGATTTTTACCTCTTTTTCAAGTAAACAATATTTTCTCTCACAAAACTGTAACACTTTTTCAATTTTTTTTTTTTTAATTTAACTTCAAAAATTACTTTTTTCAAATCTCACATTTTTTCTATTCAAATGCCTACTAAATATCTGTGTTTTAAAAAGAATGAACGAGTTGGAGTACAAGGGTTAAACCTTCAAATTTTCGATCTCAATTTGGAGAAGGGTTTTCTATTTTTTGAATTGAACTTAACATAACTAGAAACTATATAAAAAATACTATAAAATAAAATACTTTTAAAAATATATGGAAGTTAGTGTCTAAGAAATATTTTTTGACTCTCCAAACAATATAATAATAATAATAATTAATAGGGTTCCTTCTCCTATTTCACGTATCTATTCCAAATATTAAATCAAAATATCAAACAAAAATAATCCGCCTTCAAAAAGACATGCCAACTATAAGATCTACAAAAATACTGGCTTTTGCCTGATTATTTTGTCTTGGGTGCCACCAAAAAACAAATAAAACTGGCCGGTCACAAAATATCCAGCCAACTCCCTAATTTTTAATACCAAAGTTGCAGAAAATCACACAATTTTTTAATGTTTATTTTCTCCATACACAAATAGATAAACAAAAGACTATTTTCCTTTCAAAAGACTAATTGATACATAGTGGATACAGGAATTATCTAGAAAAAAAAAATTAAAATAGGCCACAATTCTATTGTGTTTTGGCCCTAATCTGGTGCATCCTAAAGTTTGTTTCTTCAAATTAAACACAACTTAAATTCTGTAATGTTCTTAGTGTATCCTATTGTTGTTTGTTGAAGCCATTTCTGCCTCAGTTGCCTCTGCTTGCTCTCTGAACTTCTTGTATATATCACCTTTGTAAAAATTCCTAGTTCTTGCAACCAAAATCAACGAGGCTAGAGCGCCAAAAAATGCGACACTAGCCAAGATTATAAAAGCCTGTCGATAACATTGGTTACCAATACAAGTCAACTCTTTAACAGATGATCTAGTCAATCCCTTTTTCGCGAGCTCCTTCAACGCCTGTCTATCATAAAGTGGTCCAGTGACTTTCACATTAAGTATATATGAGCCAAGAGGGCTAGCCAATTGTCCACAATTGAACAATGTGGAGTAATACTTCAATCCAAAAAGCTCAGAAATAATTGAGAAGAGTAATGGCAACTGTGCACCAAATGAGAAGCCGATGATCACAGATGCAACGTAGACTGATCCGGGGAAGGGGAACGCGATAAGGAGAAGGCCAATGCAGGATAACAAGAGGACTAATGTCATCATAAGTGGTCTAGGGAATTTGTACTTAACAAGAAGAGTCTCAGAAACAAATCCTGAGAAAATTCTCCCAAAAAAATTCCATATGCTAAGAAGTGACACAAAGGATTTAATGGTTGTTGTTGGATATCCTAAAGACTCACCAATTTGACCCAAGTTATCGACAGCAGTAAGGCTCGTTCCAAGTCCACAGAACGTAGCAAGAAACAGAATCAACATATCAGTACTTAAAAGTGCTTGTAATATGCTATAATCTTCACCTCTTTCTGGTTTATTGAAGAAAATATCAGTGAACCAAAAGCACTTAGAATTAGTATCGCCTTTCTTGATTTCTAAGGTTGTAGAATTGTCTTCTTTCTCTAGTACTACTGGTCGATGCTCAGTGTCAATTTGTGGAGGACTAATAGGCATATTCTTTCGACGAAAGACATCCAATTCTTCTCTAACGAAAACCAAAAGGGGAAGAAATAGCAAAGCACAAGCCACAGTAGCAGTTACAACATAAGCAGCATGAGAAAATGCAACTGCTTTCTCAACCAATGTCATGACCATAAGAAACAATGCTAATACAATTGCTATAGTCAAACAATAGTAGAAAACTCTCAGCTGATTCGGCTGCTTAACGACTCTCATTTCGCGAATAGTATACACAAATATTACTGATACTGCAGCTGGAAGCCAAGCAATGAGTAAAATAAGTGATTTAGAATCATTTCCATATACAGCTAAGTATAATTGAGTCATAATAGCACCACTTAATCCAGTAAATCCTTTCAATAAACCAATCATATTTCCTCTGCTCTCGGGGAAATTCCTAACAGAAGTAACAAGAGCTCCAGTATTCGCAAAATTTTGCGAATTAGCTCCAAGACATATGTATATACACATATGCCAAACTTTTGGTTTTGGTATTTTTCCAACAACAGAAAGCCATATCATGAAATAGCCTGTGAAATTCATTGCTGCACCAACTAATAACACAAACCATGTTGGAGTTACTTCAGCAATTAGACCAGAAAATACTCCAACATTAGCACCAAGATCTTTGAAAAATCCTAGTAAATTAAGTGTAGTTTGATCATATCCTAAAGAGGCTTTTATTTCTTTTGAATAAGTTCCAAATAGATAAGTAGCTCCTGCTCCAGCCATAATAAGAAAAGATGCAAATAGAGAAAACCACCTACCTTTAACCACATGATTGGCAAAGTGAAAAATCTCACGGCCATTTCCCATTGGCAACTCTCCCATATCTCCTCTTCTGAAAAATTGAAGTAACAAAAAAAATGAGAAGATAATCTCTAAGTCTACACCTAACTTGGTTTTGAATATTGTGGAAAATGGAATTATCTCATGTTAGTAAGTGAGGTGAGGCAGAGAGTTGACAGAGAAATAAGAGGCGGAGCCAAAATTTATAGTTTTATGGGTTCGAGATTCTAGTTATTTTTAAGTTAATGAGCTTTAAATTAATAATTTGTATATATTCAACGAATTTTTTAAAATAAATATAAGGTTTGAACCAAGCTAGTATGTTCAATCGAACCGGTAACCGAAGGCTGGCTCCGCTCCGGAGAGAAATGAAATCAAGACCACTTGAGAGGTCAAGATGATTGAGATCTGTGAAAGAAAATAATATAAACAAAGATGAAGATAAAACAATGATTTAAATACTCAATAGAGCCAAAAATCTAGGAGAATTTTATGGCTATGTTGAGGAAATGAGAACTAGAAAAATGAACTCTTACTTTGAGAGAAAAAAGGTTTCTATAGTAGATGGCAAAAATGGCATGATAAGGTTTTTCTGGCTATTTGGGAGGAGGTGGTTATTTTTGCTAAAAATCTTGATTAATTCAGACTATAACATGCTCATTCTAAATGTAGGGTTGTAAGTCAGTAACTAACCAAATTGGAGATTAGATGGTTACTTTGGCATGAAATTCCTGGGTTATTAATTGGGTTTTCTTTTTTTAGTGGAATAGTAGAAAATGGAGTCAACCTTTTTGCTTTTTACATTTTGTTTTTAATGGTAAAATACTAAAGTTCCATGAGATGTGACTTAAAGATATTGGTTTTGCTAAACAACTGGATTTTTGTGCATATTTGTTAATTCCATCATAATTGGCAGTTGAGAATGGTTCAAAAAATCCATTAATATATGTATCAGAAAATAGTCATATTATTGATATACTCATGACAGATTATCATGACTCAGACAACTCAATTATATAACAACAGTTAACCACACATCCAAAATATGCTTTCTGCTATATGGACTTAATTAAAAAGTAAGGGTTGGATATCTTACCTACCACACACAAGCAGGGCGTATCTAGTGATTACTTGCATGTTAATATGAACTCATTAACTTTGTTCAGAATATGTATATGTAGCGGCGGGCCTATGTATAGAGAAGAGAGGTTATCCGTCCATGTTAATACTTTTTAATACTTTTTACTATATTCTTTTGTTGAAAAGAAAGAAAATATTTTTTCTATATCATAAAAAAAAATTGTTAAAATAAAAAAACTATTATTTTTTTTATATCATGAAAAGAAAATACCTATTTGTTTAAATGAAAAAAAAAGTACTCTATCTATAATNTGGATTTGTGGGGGTGGGTGGGGATGGAAAAGTTAAAAAAGAGTTATGGAAAATATTTTCCCTTCTCTTGATAGGGAAAACATATTCCTCAAATTGGAGGAAAATGAGTTCATAAGGAAAATATTTTTCAAAACACTTAACCCAACTAAACATGGAAAAATTGGAAAATATTTTCTTTTCCTTCATACCAAACATACCCTATGAATCCAACTATTTTGCTACCAAAGTAAAAACTAGGGAAACTTATAGAAATGTCCCAAATAAGTCTCAACTTACCAACCTCTAGTCATTAGTCATAGACTTACCAAAACTAGTCAAACACATATAAAAATTGAAAAACCAAATAAATAAGGTTCTTTCTCTCAAAGAATCACACACAAAAATCTCCTTTCATATTTTTAAGCGTGATTAGCAACATTAGATGCAAGACGAAAAGGAAATTTTATGGATGAGGTAGCAAATAAGGTGATGAAATATAAAAAAAAAAATATACAATATTCCAAAATCTAAGCAAAAAGGGACATTTTTCAATGGGTATAGTTGAAATTCATTGAAAACATATAGATAAGTCAATATATAAAATTTGAGGAAGATTGAAGGTGATTTGGACTGGTTTAGTATCAAAATTCGTAATTAAATCGAGTTCAAAAAATCCTTATGCGAAGCATGTATCAATATCACGCATGTATCTCACACACATGTATACATGGATATACATATGATACGCAATTGATACAAATATGATACATATGTGATACACAATATGATACACATATTATTTTTTTCATGTTAATTTGTTACTTCGAATTTTCAATTCAAACTACCCCAAAACTCTACCAAATCATCTCAAAACTGAGATTCAAGCTTCTTAAGATGTACCCAATCTATTCTAATAATATCCAAAAAAGAGAGCAAAATTTGACCCTTTTTTGCTATAAATAGCTAATTGTCTAATATTAGTAATATTTTGCTAATATTAGTAATATTTTATAAATTGACCAATTTTGTAATGAGTTACTTATAGATAGACATAGCTGATAGTTTCCCTGAAAACTATAACGTGCAAGTAAAAACTTTCACAGTATATTATAAATTTCAAATACTTCATGAACCTTGATCTTTTCAGTGTGAATTTCATTGAAGTCACATGCAGAATGGTAGTTAAGTCAAGGTCAAGAAATGTTGGTATAAATCCTTTCATCTTAATACTACTATCTTGGTTGTGTGATTGGCATTAGTAGTTATAGAAATAGTGCTACTTTATTCCAAATATGGTTTGTATTATCCTGTATTTGGTTGGGAAAGGTCAAAAGTTGCATGTGAAGAGGTCTCTAAGATACATCCAAATCTCATCAATGTGAATAGAAAAGGCAATAATGAGACTTGTTGACTAAATATAACAGCCCACTTACCAAAAACATTCATGTGCCAGAGTAGGACAGAGCCAGAGAAAGTAAAATCCACAATAGAATATGTTGCTATATCTTTTCTCGTGACCATTTATTTCCACCCAAAACAACTACGCTCAAACTTCTCTTATTCCTGCATCAAAGTACTATTATAAAAAATATTTAAAAAAATATATATAATATGAGAAATTGGTTCCAAAAATAACTTAATCATTCTAGTATAGTATAGTTACAGAGAAATTTGACTATGCTATAACAGACTTATTAAAGCTTTCATTAAGGAGTCATTTGGTTCAAGAGATTAGGTGCGTTATTCCGGTATAAATTTTAAGATTAAAGTTATCTCGTATTTAATTGGAGATGTTTAACTAAATTAATATTATTTTTATACTAAAATCTTGATATAATGAATCCTATATAGAAGGCGTGATTTTTTTGTTCACATGATAAACCAACAGCATGATACTATGCCACTGTAGAAAACCCAGCTGTCTGAATTGGAGAACTTATCCTAAAAGATGAAAACTTGTCCAGAATTTGCAAGGTAATGGTTAGTAAATGGTACTATATATCAATTAACTATGCTTCATTTCTAAATTTGTTAGGATTGATTGTGTGAAATTTCTGTTATGATTTTGCTTTATTCAGGTCATTTCATTTCAATAATGAATCATCTGTTCTTTAATACAATTTAGGGGTTCTTAATATTAATCTTACGTTTGTCCTTACTTGTAAGTCTCTAGCTAGAGTAAGAAGAGTACTGTCAAATGATGGACATAATATAAATGTAATGAGAATAACAAAACCTTATTGTAATTAGTTAATGAAAGGTATTTGTCTCTGTTTCCTATTTTCTCTTCGGTATTTATTTGGACCGACGAGTGACATTTGTTCTGCTTACCCAAAAGTCACTTTTTTTTTTTTTTTTTTTTTTTTTTTTTTGTTACACAAAAGTCATTTTACTTTGCTCTATCTATCACAAAAGTCATCTTGGTCAGATTTTATAATACTTTTATTTGAAAAATCTATTATGCCCTTAACATTATAAATTCTCCTATTTATGTAATACCTTTTATATTATATATTATATAATATATTTTTACCTAGATATTTTACTTATAATTAAAATAACTTTGTATTATTTTATTTATTATTTTTATGATATATCCGTATACTTGATTTTTTCATGGAACTCAAATTGTTTAATCATATTCAAACATATACATATTTTAAAATATAAAAATGATAAAAATATTAATTTGAAATAATAAATTATAGTTTTTATGGCCAGTAAAACTTCTACAAATTTTTTTAAAGATATTTGTGTTTAATATTAAGTTTTTTAAAGCCTTTTCTGTCAATATTATTTATTTGTAAGTGTTCATTTGACGTATCAGTGTGCTAAATATGGGTATTTTATTTATTGGAATAACATATATGGTTTGGATGATAAATCAATAAGCTTTGATTTTATAATTTTTATTAAAAATATTTTATTAGGCATGGTTAAGATCGTTGACTTGAGATTTGTTCACAGTAATGTTACTATAAATTTAATAATGCTACTGATATACCTTAAAAATTAATGTTAAAAAAATTAAATGTACGAATATATTATAAAAATAATAAATAAAATAATATTAAGTTATATTAATATAAGTAAAATAATTGGGTAAAAGTATATTAAATAGCATATAATATAAAAGGTATTACATAAATGGGAGGATTTATAATTTTAAGGGCATAATAGACTTTTCAAAAGAAAGTTTTATAAAATCTGGTCAAAGTGATAATTGTGATAACTAGAGCATAGTAAAATAGTTTTTTTGTATAACAAAAGAGAGAAAAATGACTTTTGAGTAATGAACACAAAATTTAATGACTTTTACGTAACAAAAGAAAGAAAAGTGATTTTTGGATAATGAACACAAAGTTAAATGACCACATGTGAAAGTTACTCAGATTATCATAATCTATCTAACAAACATTGGAAGCATAGTTAGATAGGTTTTAGGACAAATCTCCAACTTTGGTAAGAAAATGATTGACATTCTTCCAAAGTAAAGTTCTAAATGAACTGGCAAAAATAAATTGAAATCTTGTTTTTGTATACGGTCAAAATCGAGTTTGCCCTTCGTGTGATTAATCGAGATTGGGGTATGATAGACTGAGGTTCGTCATTGTAATATCGAGCTATGATGTGAAGTCGGGCTACTAATTTCGATCCCTAAAAACTGACCAAGGTCAGGATCAGCCAAGATCGATATCGAGCCCAGATAGAGGTCGAGCAAATAGAAACCGACCAAGGTCGGGATCAACCAAGATCGATATCGAGCCCAAATAGAGGTCGAGTGAATAGAGACCGATCGAGACCGAAATCAGCCGAGACCGAGATCGAGCCCAGATAGAGGTCGAGCAAATAGAAACCGACCAAGGTCGGGATCAACCAAGATCGATATCGAGCCCAAATAGAGGTCGAGTGAATAGAGACCGATCGAGACCGAAATCAGCCGAGACCGAGATCGAGCCCAGATAGAGGTCGAGCAAATAGAGAGCGATCGAGGCCGAAATCAGCCGAGACCGAGATTGAATCCAGATAGAGGTCGAGCGAATAGAGGCCGATCACAATCGAGAGCGGCCGAGTTCGGGCTCGAGCCAACGGACAAAAGAGCTGTTATAATCGCATTTGGGGAGAGAATCTCGGCGAAAATCAAGAAAAAGTCAATTAATTAATCTATCATGGGATCTCCACTATGTATTTTTAATTATATCAAAAGTAGAATTCCTCCACTATATTAAGAGTAGGTTATCATTGATTCAGGACTCAATTGATTCATTCACAGATCCATTCAGACATTCATACACTCTAACATTGA